GCAAAGAGTGGAGCAAATCTACACTGTGGACCAAATGGACCTAGTTGATATCTACCAAACATTTCATCCCACAATGCAAAATACACATTCTTTTCATTAATATGTGGAACTTTGTCTAGGATAGACTATACACCAGACCATAAAGCAAGTCTCAGCAAATCAAAAAAAAATAAATCAAGCCATGTATCTATTCTGATGACAATGGAATGAAGCTTGAAATTAGCAGCTTAAGAAACTCCAGAAAATGTGCAAACACAGGAGACTGAACAACACTCTCCATGAATCAAGATTCCTACCTTAAAACTTGTGCAAAAATCAACTCAAAATGGAGCAAGGATCTAAATCTATGACCTAACACCATCAATTTACTAGAGGAGAACACTGGAGAAACTCTTCAAGATATTGGCATAGACAAAGACTTCTTGAGAAGGACCCCAGAAGCACAGGTAATAAAAGCAAAAATAGCCGAATGTGAATATTCAAGCTTAAGAAGATTCTGCACTGCAAGAAAACTACTCAATAAAGTAAAGAGGCAACCGACAGAATGGGAGAAGATATTTGCGAGCTATGCAACTGATAAAGAATTAACATCCAGGATTTATAATTAACCCAAGAAACTCAACAACAAGCTAATAATCCAGTTAAGAAATAGGCGAAGGACATGAGCATTTTTCAAAGGTTGAAATTCGGATGGCCGACAGACATGAGAAAATTCTCAGATTCACTAACCATCAGGGAAATGGAAATAACCACAGTGAAGTTTCAGCTCACCCCAGTTAGAATGACTGTCATCCAAAAATCCAAAGACAACAAATGCTGGCAAGGATGTGGTAGGGAAAAAGTACCCTAATCCACTGTTGGTGCAAATGTCATCTAGTACAACCACTACGGAAGACAGTATAGAGATTACTCGGAAATCTGAAAATAGATCTATATGACCCAGCCATCCACTCAGGGAAATTTATCCAAATGAAATGAATTCAGCATGTGAAAATTATCTGTGCCCGCATGTTAATTGCAGCTCAATTCACAATAGCTAAGGTATGGAATCAACCCAGATGCCTGTCAACTGATGGCTGGATGAAGAAAATGCTGTATTTATACACTATGAAATACTACTCAGCCATAAAAAGAATGAAATCCGGTGTTTTGCAACAAAGTGGATGCACCTGAAAACCATTTTTCTTAGTGAAATAAACCAATCTCAAAAGGGCAAATGTACATTTTCTCTGATATGTGGCAGTTAATGCAGAATGCAAGAAAATGTATAGGAATGAAATGTACATTTTGTGATAGGCTTGTAATTTTTTACCTTTATTTTAACTCCTCTAAAATACTTTTTATTTGTTGAGTACTATATTTAGTGGCAAATTAAGCTTATGAATATAGACTGGGTTAAAATTATGTCTGCAAAAAATGATGAAAGGAAGAAAGGGGAGAAAAGGTGGGAACTATGGTTGATCTCTTGGAACTGTACCTGTGGAATCATGAAATCTGTTCTCTTCATATTAATACAATTTTTAAAATGATTCTTCCCTCTCTCCTCCTTCCTTTTGAAAAAAAAAATTACAACATTTTAAATTTATGACCACAGGCTTAATGTTCCACTACATAAAGAGTTCAACAACTAAAAAGACCACTGTTCCACAGGAATTAGACAAAAGCTATAAAAATCAAATCCCCATATGTCATTTTCATTCATACATTTTTTTTCTTTTTAAAAATCATTTTATTTATTTATTTGAGGGGTAGAGTTACGGACAGAGGGAAACACAGAGAGAAAGGTCTTCCATATACTATTTCACTCCCCAAATGGTCACAACCACTAGAGCTGATCTAAAACCAGGATCCCAGCGCTTCTTCCACGTCTCCCAAAGGGGTGAAAGGGAACAAGCAGTTGGCCCTCTTTGACTGCTTTGCCAGGTCATAAGAGAGCTGGAACAGAAGAGAAGCAGCCAGGACATGAACTGGTGCCCATATGGGATGCTGGTGCAAGCAGGCAGAGGTTTAGCCTACAAACCACCGTGCAGACCCCAGATGTTTTTCTACTCTCTATATTAGCTATGAAAAATAAGAAAGCATGTGATAGTTGTCTTTTTTGGTTTTGGCTCATTTCACTAAAATAATGGTCTCCAGTTGCATCCATTTTGTTGCAGAAGACAGGATTTTATTCTCTCTGGCTGAGTAGTATATCATTATGTATATATGCAATGTTTTCATTTTCCCAGATTTATTTATTTAATTGTAAGGCAGAGCCACAGAACAAGAGGGAGAGAAAGAGACAGAGAAACAAATATTTTCCATCCACTGGCTCATTCTTCAATTGGTCGCAATGGCCTGGGCTGAGCCAGGCCAAAGTTAAGGGCCAGGAATTTCTTCCAGTTCTTCCACAAGGGTGACAGGTGTCCAAACACTTGGACCATTCTCCACTGCTTTCCCAGGGCACTAGCATGGAACTGCATCAGAGGTGGAGCAGCTGGGACTAGAACCGGCTCTCATGTGAGATGGCAGCATCACAGGCAGCAACTCTACCAACTACTCCATGGTACCACGCCAGCTACATTTTCTTAATCCAGTCATCAGTCCATGGACATCTGGGTCGATTCCATATCCTAGCTGTTGTGAACCAACGGAAAAGGAAGACCTTTGTCTCTCTCTCACTGTCTAACTCTGCCTATTAAAAAAAAAAGAAACATAGGGGCACAAATATATGTTTCATATGCTGATTTCACTTCATTGGGATATATTCCCAGGAACGGAATGCTCGGGTCATACAGTACATCCATTTTAGGTTTCTGAGGACTCTCCTGTCTTACGTAATAGTTGTAATAGTCGGTCCCCGTGACTCTTCCCATCTGCCAGGCTTTGTTCCTGCTTTCTCATTGTCTTCTACTAGTTACCGTATTCTTGTATCACAGTCTCTTGAAAAATATATCTTCCTTCTCTATCTCATAAATGTTTCTTTCCGTAATGTACTACTCCTTCTGCGGCTCCTGAAATAGAACTGGATCATTTCAACACAACTGAGATGACTGAAAAGGGGAAAAATGCTCCCTCTCTCCCTGCCCACTATTTGGATAACAATCTGAATTTTCTGTCAAAAGCCCGTTCTTTTAGACATGGTATTCTTGTATATCCCTTCCAGTCTTATACCATTTATATGATTTATAACTTTTTGCAAACTCTCCAATGTATATTAATAGCTTCAATGACCAAATTCGTTTGTTTTCAATCACCATTGACATTCCTAAATTTATTCTTAGCCACTTTTCCCCCCAGTATCTACAATCAAGTAGACTAAACTTGGATCACTTTGATCTTAATGTATCCAGGAATTCTATATTAGTTGAATTTCACTATTATCCCTCAAATCCACAGGACCTCATCATTACACACATTTAAAATTATAAGCAGAGGCTGGTGCTATGGCATCATGGGTAAATCTGCCATCTGCAGCACCTGCATCCCATGTGGATGCTGGTTGAAGTCTTGGTTGCTCCACTTCGAATCCAGCTCCCTGTTAATTCTCCTGGGAAACAGTACAAAATGGCCCAATTACTTGGGCCTGTGCACCCACACCAGAAACCTGAAGAGGTTCCTGCCTTCAGAGTGGCCCAGCTCTGGCCATTTGGGGAGTGAACCAGCGGCTGGAAAATCTCCATCCCTCCCTTCCTCCCCCCCCCTTCCTCTCTTCCTCTCTTTCCCCCTTCCCTCTCTTCCCCCCACCTCCTCTGCCTTTCAGAAAATTACATCTTTTAAAAAAAGTAAAATTATAAGTGACTCTGTAGTTTTAGTTATGTCAGATATTTTATTTTCCTCTAGAGAAAAATTCAAATTTCTTTGCCTGGCATGGAGAGTTCCTAAGCAGTCTGACAGCCACCTGTGTTTCTGTCGCATCCTTCACAACTTCGCCTGTGAACAGGACCTCATCTTTTGTCTGAGCACGATGTACATTCATCGTTTCTCAGATACACTAATCTTTAAATACAAGATGCTCTTGCCCATGTGTTTTTCTCTTTCTAAAATATTCTTTTTCAAATCTCCTTCTGATAATAGCTAACTTAAGAGTTATTTCTTGCCTCATTTAGTGTTACTTTCTGCATTCCCCAACTCCTTAAGATGGTGCTAGTCATTTTTGCCCTGTGCTTATAACAACTTGAGATTAGATGCTTATGTTAGTGTAATTCTCTAAAATTTAAATATCAAAATTATAAGTAGTATAATTTCCATTTGTTTACAAATCTCATTACTCTATGTACTTCTTTTTTTTTTTTTTAATCTGTGACCCCAGTCTTTTTATTTTTTTTTTTATTTATTTATTTTTTTTGGTTCTTTTTCTTTTTTTTATTTTTTTTTATTTTTTTTTAACTTTTATTTAATGAATATAAATTTCCAAAGTACAACTTATGGATTACAATGGCTTCCCCCCCCCCCCCCCCATACCGTCCACAACCCTCCCAACTCCTGCTCCATCTCCCATTCCATTCACTTCAAGATTCATTTTCAATTATCTTTATATACAGAAGATCAGCTTAGTATACATCAAGTATGGATTTCAACAGTTTGCTCCCACACAGAAACATAAAGTGAAAAATAATAGATGATTTTTTAAATGATGATGAAATCAGAGCAGACCTATTGTCATGTTTAATCCCAGTGAGAGTCAAGTTGGGAGTTGATAATTTCTTTTTTTTTTTTTTACAGAGGATCAGTTTAGTATGCATTAAGTAAGGATTTCAACAGTTTGCACCCTCATAGAAACACAAAGTGAAATATATTGTTTGAGTACTCGTTATAGCATTAAATCTCAATGTACAGCACATTAAGGATATGTACTTCTGATAGGTTTCTATTGATAAGCCTAAACACAAAATTTGAAGAGGATAGGTGGGTTCAAATAATTCAATAACTTTTGCTCCTGACCATTGTATTACAAGAAAACAGTTTTGAAAATATCATTGAAATTAGGAAGATTATGCAATTTTTTTCTTTCTTTTTAGGATCAATTTTCCGCTTGAAATAAAATCACTTCCAAGGGAATGCATGCTTACTATAAAAGTGTTTGGCATTGTCTGTGAAACCAGAAATGCAGATTTACTGGCCTGGACTTGTCTTCCATTGTTTCCAAAAGAGTAAGTACACCCTTTGTGATTAATAAAGCTCCCATTCCAATAATACCTTCGTGGAACTAAATATTGTGTGATGTATAGTCTGATGAGAAGATCAAGAAGATATTTTATTGTTAAATTGAGGTAACTCCATTTAAATCATGACTGTTGGAAGCAGAACTGAAGAGCAACGATGTAAAAATGGTTTTGGAAAGAGGCCTCATGCTCAACTTGTCAGCTGGGTCATTTGCAATGAGAAGGTTTTGGCATGACCAATTGCAATTACTTTTCCTTCTGACCAGCCAATTTCTCTGGAATTAGTAATTCAAAATGATTGAGATTAATGCTGTCATTTAGAAAGAATGGAAATCAAGGAATTCTGCCTAAAATAAAATCATGCGATGTAACTGGTTTACTGACCTTTTATTACCAAGAAGAAACATTTGTTGATTATCAAATAGTACTTTTTTATAAAAACATACCTATGATTTCAGGTATTCTCAGAACTAATGTTTATCACAAAATTGACTATTGATTTAACAATAAGATAAGACCTGGGAACTATTAATACTTAGAATATTTGATAATATCAATTAATTTTTCTCTACTATTAAGGGAAAATATTTCCAAAAAAGCTGAATTATTTTTCACATGACAAAAATTGTTTTAGAATCAAACTAAAATTCAGAACTTTCAAAATTAGAACCTATATTGTTATATTAATACTGTTGTAAAATGTGTCTACTCCTGTTCTTTTTTAAAAAATGGTAATATAAGAATGTAAAGAAATTTCTTTATCAGCTTTTGGTTCCCATGCCTAATCCAAATAAAAATTATCATCAAAGCAACCATGACCAATCTTTAAAATCTTCTTTATTGGATTAAGTCTGATCTGGACTTATCTGTGTGTGTGTGTGTGTGTGTGTGTGTGTGTTTGCCCTGTTTATTTTCATACTTTAGCCCATTTCTACATGTATGTTCTCTGAGGACAGGAAATGTATTTATCTCTGCAATGTCTATCATTTAACACAATGCCTCATATAAATAGGCAATCAGTAGAGATTTATTTACTAAATTGAATTGCAGAACAACAAAAGAATCAATCCCTATAGGAGATTTAGAATGAAATAAGATTTCCAAAGTCTGCAAGAAACAGCTTAGCCCCCAGAGGAATACCTACTGCTGGTAGCAGACATTTCAAAATCTGATTTGTATACTAAGAACTTTCATTACTTTCTCACTAGGAGTAGCTATACAGGTGTCCTTTCTCATGAGTGAGTTTCTTGAAAGTTTCAACTGCAGTATTTGTAAATCTGACATTTTTATAGAATAACAATTCTTGCTACTCCCTTAAAAAAAGTCCAATCCATTTTATTCTCTCCCTTTAGTTTGACATTATTTTGCATATAACTGTCAACGATCATTAAGCATCTAAGAAGTGAGAGATATTTTTGTCTTTCAAACAAGACTTTTCTACATGGTATAAAAGATACAGCCTCGGTGTTTTGTTGTTATATTACTAACACTGGTGAACATGTCACAGAGAGTGATCATGGGAGCAGGGCAACTGTGAGTGATGCTATCTGCAGCTGTCCTAGGCGATGTGTTCCTAAGGGAAAGTGTCAAAATTGTGGATGATGCGACAGAAAACACAGCTCACTTCAAACAGTACTTCAATAACTATTTGTAAATAGATTTCTAACAAACTGTTACTCGTGTATACCTGAAAATCTACCTATCTCCTGGGCTAAATAATTAAAGAATTCTAGTTCTTTTCTAAGACATAACAAATCCATTATGCTGGGTAACTGGGGGCATGCGGTGACTACCACTCGGCTGCTTGTTGTGAATTAGAGATTCTAACCCAATTTATCCCATGCAGATACATTCAGATCATGGCAAATTGGTGAATTAATTCCATTTGCTTTCCTAGAATGACCGCTGCTCATAAATTAGGTATCCAGCCTATCCCATTTACAGGTTGAATTGCCCATAGCTAGTCATGTGAAGTTGCAATGAGAGCTTGTGTCATTGTGTTTCCCACATGTACACAATCTGAAAACAGAGTGAAAAGCTTTTTATCTCTTTATTGTTTTCAGAAGTTGATTTCAGTAGAACCTAGAGTGATTAAACGCATATAAATCAGGTATGGTTGCATCACTAACATGAAAATAGAATGTTCAACCTGTGAACTCACCTGCAATTCTAATTTTTAGAGAATCCTCAAGACCAAAGGCAAAATTTTGCCCACATGTTTTATAATCCTCTGTTTTTCAGACACGATTTTCACTGCATCTGTATTCATAGTGTCTCTACACTGCAGCAAAAAAGTATTATCCTCACCTCAACAATTTCCACGAACTCCTTTCTCTATTTGAGTTTGAAACAAGTAGCACTGTGGTCACTTAGCATTTCTAAATTGTGGTAAGCTGATGTAGTACAGAGATTCTCTGTGCTAATTGAAAAATAAATTTGGGGAGGGAAGAGAGTATAAAACAGGTACTTCCTAAAAATTCTAATTTAATTGGTTTATGGTCTGACCTGAACATCAGTATTTTTAAGGCTGCTAGGATAAGTGACAACCTGGAAAAATTAGAATGTTTTACACAATTTCAAAAGAAGCTTATAGTAAAGCATTTTGATTCCTTACAAAGTTGCTGAGTAGCTCCCACTGTGGTGTGTTCTTTTTCTAAATAAATAATATTTATTTGAAAGGCAGAGTTACAGGGAGGGAGAGGCAGAGAGAGGAATCTTCCATTCATTGGTTCACTCACCAAATGACCACCAATGGCCACGGCTGGGCCAGGCTGACATTAGTAGAGTGGAGCTTTTTCTGTGTCTTCCAAATGGGTGCAGAGGCCCAAGCACTTGGGCCATTTTCCACTGCTTTCCCAGATGCGTTAGCAAGGAACTGAATCAAAAGTGGATCAGCTGAGTCTCCAACTGGTGCCCATGTGGGATGGTGGCATCACAGACATAGGCTTAACCTGCTACACTATAGTGCCGGCCCCTGTAGTGTATGCTGTTACATTTATCTTCATTATCAAATCAAACAAATTCAGAATTCCTTATGCCCTTCCTTCCTGACCAAGAATAACCCTCAGAGTTCACTTATTCTAAATAAGTCATTTACAGATGAAAAACTCTAATGGGAAGTCAAAAGGCTTGACATAGATTACCAGCTACTTAGAAATAGAAGGACCAGAATATAGGTCTGACTTCTCCCCCATGTGTCTTATTAACACATGCCTCCCTTATGTTCTTGATGAACACACTAGAAAAACACAGTGCCCTTTAAGGGCCTCCTGCCTCAGTCTTGCCTGGTCTTGTTCTTGGACTCCAAAAATGTTAGGTCTATTAGAGTTACCCCAAAGGGTCTTTAACATCATATCCTCTGTTTCTGTTGGCTGCTCAGTTTAAGAGTCCTTCCTCATCTCTGGCTCCAGAATACCAGCAATGGATGCATAGAATCCTATAGCTAAATTTGATCATTATTTTATTCAAACACTTTTTACTGCTTGAGGAAACAAGGACCCAGAGAGAATAGACTAGCCCATCTGTATTCCTGATGGTTTTTGTAGTCCATGAATTTGTACAATATTTAAATAGAAAACACCCTAGGGATAATCCAAAATTTTTACTTTTATTTAGCAAATATAAATTTCCAAAGTACAGTTTATGGATTACAATGGCTTCCCCCCACTTAACTTTCCTCTCACCCACAACCCTCCCAACTCCTGCTCCATCTCCCATTCCATTCACTTCAAGATTCATTTTCAATTATCTTTATATACAGAAGATTGATTTAGTATATGCTAAGTAAAGATTTCAACAGTTTATACCCACACAGAACATAAAGTGTAAAATACTGTTTGAGTACTAGTTATAGCATTTATATTGAACAACACATTAAGGACAGAGATCCTACATGAGGAGTAAGTGCACAGTGACTCCTGTTGTTGACTTAACAAATTGACACTCTCGTTTATGATGTCAGTAATCTCCCTAGGCTCTTGTCATGAGTCACCAAGGCTATGGAAGCCTTTTGAGTTCGCCGACTTCGATCTTATTTAGACAAGGTCATAGTCAAAGTGGAGGTTCTCTCCTCCCTTCAGAGAAATGTACCTCCTTCTTTGATGGCCCGTTCTTTCCACTGGGATCCCACTTACGGAGATCTTTCATTTGGGTCATTATTATTTTTTTTTTTTTTTTTGCCAGAATGTCTTGGCTTTCCATGCCTAAAATACTCTCATGGGCTCTTCAGTTAGATCCGAATGTCTTAAGGGCTGATTCTGAGGCCAGAGTGCTGTTTAGGACATCTGCCATTCTATGTGTCTGCTGTGTATCTCGCATCCCATGTTGGATCGTTCTCTCCCTTTTTTATTCTATCAGTTAGTATTATCAGACACTAGTCTTGTTTATGTTATCCCTTTGACTCTTAGACCTATCAGTATGATCGTTTGTGACCTGAAATTGATCACTTTGACTAGTGAAATGGCATTGGTACATGTCATCTTGATGAGATTGAATTAGAATTCCCTGGCACATTTCTAACTCTACCGTTTGAGGTAAGTCAGCTTGAGCATGTCCCAAATTGTACATCTCCTCCCTCTCTTATTCCCACTCTTATATTTAACAGAGATCACTTTTCAGTTAAATTTCTTTTTTTTTAAACATTTGCATCTGTGAAGGCGCTGTTTTTTTATTTTTTTTATTTTTTTTAAAGATTTATTTATTCATTTGGAAGTGGAGCAGCTGGGTCTCGAACTGGCGGTGATATGGGATGCCGGCACTTCAGGTCAGGGCTTTAACCCACTGAGCCACAGTGCCGGCCCCTTAAATTTCAATACCTAAGAATAATTATGTGTTAATTACAGAGTTCAACTAATAGTATTAAGTAGAACAAAAAATACTAAAAGGGATAAAGTATTAAGTCGTATATCAACAGTCAGGACAAGGGCTGATCAAGTCACTCTTAATCCAAAATATTTTAAAATGTTATACATGGTAGTATAATGACATCTTATTCAAAAATCTCAAAGTATAAGAGTGAACAGTTTATTTATGTGTCACGTGAGAAGAATTTGATGGAAATTTGATTTTCAATCTAATGGGAAGATTGATGCCAGGATAATTGTCACTTCCCCTTCACTCTTCTGGTCTGTCTGTGACCACCAGCAGAACCTAAAAGCTACTTGAAAACTTTCAGTAAAATGATTGATATTTTTTCCTTGGAAACTCAAAGAAGTTAAGTTATTTAAGGCTAGTTAAGAAAGACAGGTTCCAGATATTCTGACATAAAGAAATTATGATGTTCTTTCCACTATATGAAACTATTCTCTGTATATTCTGCCTTCATGACTTTTGTTATCCAACTTTGTAAATATTTTCACCATTGTAATAAAACTTACCTGATGGTCCCCATATACCTGATGTCAGAAGTTTCCATTTTCATCTTTTTGAAAATAGCAATATTCATTTCACATTATATATGAAGTACTTCATATGCATATTTATATTTGAATGGTAGAATAACAGGCATCTTCTGTCTACTGATTTGCCTCTAAAAATGCAAAAACTGGAGCTGGACTGGGCCGAAGCCAGGAGTCCAGAACTTGACTCAGATTTCCCACATGGGTGGTAGGGACCCAAGAGATTGAATCATCACCAGCTGCCTTCATGACTGCTAATCAGCAGGAAACTGGATCCGAAGTATGAGGACTCGAATCCAAGCACCCCTAAATGGGATGCTGGCTTCCCAAGTGAACAGTTTATATATGTGTTACGTGGGGAGAATTTGATGGAAATTTGGTTTGGAAATGGCTGTACCAAATGGCCACCATTTTTTCACATCTTGATCCCACTAATCATATTCTCATTCGTTATTTACAGAAGTCTATGGATGTATTTGAGTTATTATTCTTGTAATAAAAACATGTTCAGAGAAGAAGTTGTGGTACAGCCAATTAAACAGGTGCTTGGGATGTCTGCATGTGTATCAGAATGCCTAGTTCAAATCTAGGCTACTCTGCACTTCCAATCCAGTGTCCTGCTAATGCACCTGGGAGGTAGCAGTTGATAGCCCAAAGTCCCTGCCACCCACATGGGAGATGAGGATTGAGGGATCGAGTTCCTATCTCCTAGCTTCAGCTTTGTCCAGCTCCAGCTTTTGTGGGAATTTGGGTAGTGAATCAATGCATAGAAGATGTCAGTATCTGGATGTGTCTCACTTCACCTTTCAAACAACATTTTTGAGACAAAGTGCAAGTATAGTCATTATTAAAAAGTTTAATTAGCTGATATAAAAAACACAGCCCTCAGAGTAGTGTCCAGTATTTATTTTATTTCCCCATTGAGTGTTCCTAATATCAGCTTCAGTTGAGAGCTAGTAGAAGTGCATTCTCTGTATGCCTTGTTTCCTGATACCTCCCATCGTCCACACACCTACATCAGGTGTTCTGATTGATTCTGCCCTATGTGCCTTGGGTAAGGCCATGATGACTGTTGCTCCAGATCCCATCCACAGATAAAGCCCAGACACTGAGCTTTAGATTCTTGAGTCCCCTCATCCTCATAGAAAATAGCTTGAATCACTCAGATTTTTGAAATGAAATGCAGCCAATGGAGCTTCTAATTGGGATTCTGCTATCATGACCAGGGCTTACTGGCACTTGTTGTATAATTGAGGCTCTCACATCTACCGTAGACTCTGGGACTTGCTGGCAATTCTGCATTGACCCTTCTTGAACAGTCCAAAGAGGTGCTCTTTTCACAGAAGCGCTTTGTCCCTGCCATGTGACCCCTTGCTGGAAGCTCTCCCTCTCTGGTGTCTTTGTTTCTAGATCCCATCTCATCTATACTGGAACCAAAAAAAAAAAAAAAAAAGTGTGGGGGAGGTAGGCACTGTACAGTGAGTGAAACTCAGGAGCTCCTTCTGCCTATCTACCACGTGGCCCTACATCTAATGAAGAGGGGCAAACTGGACACGTAGGATGGTCGTGTTCACTCTGCTTCCTCTTTCTCTGTCTCTTTCAGCCACCTCAAATCTCAGGACACAGTAGACTTTGATTTTGCCAAATTCTTCTTATTCCTCATAGCTGTAGACACTTCACCTTGAACAGGTGTATTTTCTCTGAACGTTGTGGGGTCATTATGATCTGCGTATTCCAGATTTCCTGTTAGATGTACACTTTCACCCTCTTTCCTCCTGCACGATACTCATCCAAAGCTTTCACATGCACATGGGTGTTTCAGGCCATTCTGGGCGGATTTAATACTCTAAAAGACAATGGGGAAATTATATTATCAATTATATCATTTAATAATTATTTTAAGAATTTTTCTCATCTTTATCCATGTTAGACTAACCTTTATTTTACCAACACTGATTCCCTGGTATGGTTAGGCAAAAAAAAAAAAAAAAAAAAAAAACTTCGTATGAGGGAGGAAGGAAACAAATCAAATTTTTTACTTTAATAAATATAAATTTCCAAAGTACAGCTTTTGGATTACAGTTGCTTTTTCCCCCATAACCTCCCTCCTACCCACAACCATCCCATCTCCCACTCACTCTCCCATCCCATTCACATCAAGATTCATTTTCAATTATCTTTATATACAGAAGATCAATTTACTATATACTAAGTAAAGATTTCAACAGTTTGCACCCACGCAGAAACACTAAGTATAAAGTACTGTTTGAGTACTAGTTATACCGTTAATTCACATAGTACAACACATTAAGGACAGAGCTCCTACATGAGGAGTAAGTGCACAGTGACTCCTGTTGTTGATTTTAACAACTGACACTCTTGTTTATGACATCAGTAATCACCCGAGGCTCTTGTCATGAGTCGCCAAGGCTATGGAAGCCTTTTGAGTTCGCCGACTTTGATCTTCTTTAGACAAGGCCGTAGTCAAAGTGGAAGTGCTCTCCTCCTGTCAGAGAAAGGTACCTCCTTCCTTTATGGCCCATTCTTTCCACTGGGATCTCACTCACAGAGATCTTTCATATAGGCCATTTTTTTTTTTGCCACAGTGCCTTGGCCTTCCAGAAACAAATCAATTTTTTAAAATGCAAAATGTATCCTCCTAGAAGAAGATTCTTGACTCATACGAAAAGATCTGCCCAATAGTGTTTGGAAATTATACTCCCTTGAGCCTATACTTTCTGACAATATATTTGGATAGATAAAATAATAAAGGTAGTTCTCAGAAAGCTATTAAAGGTTTAAAGAAAAAATTTATTTGCTGGATTATTTCCCTCATGTTTTGCATAAGTCTCTTAAATGACAGGATGGAATTATATGTTCTTTGTGAAAAGACGCATTGTTTTACAGGTCTTCATAAACTTTAATTTTATTGTCTTTTCAGCTCTACACATGCCATTTGGTATACTCTTTTCAGTGATTATCAGGACATTTTACCGATATTCTAATATTAATTCAAAGCCATGTGTTATATAAGGGTTGGTGGATTTGTATGTTATTGATGCTGCTAAAAGGATTCATGAATCCTTCCCTGTTTAAAGTCTGTACTCAATGCACACTCATTTACTTTTATAATTTACAACTGATTTTTAAAGTATCCCAAATATGAGTAATCTTTCTGTTTATGCCTAAAAAAATTTCTTCTATGAAATCTTATAACTGTTTTGACTCAGCAGATCATATGTTATGTTAATTTGTATATATTCACTCCATAAATTTAGAATACCTATGTGAATGCCCAGGCAATTTAGTCAATTTGTGAATTGAAGAATGTTCTGAAGAGTTAACTTGCTTATCAATTTACAATAATCATGACTCCAGGAATATAAATCTAAGATCTTTAGTCCCACCTTGAAATCACCATCAATGGTGATTAAGAATAAATGCTACCTGTTAGATACTATTGTGGAAATAAGTTTCTTATGTGGAAAATAAATATTGACATCTTTGAAAATAGCCATGCATGTGGTGTATTAGAAATGAGCTATTAATCAGTGCCTGGGCTTCTCTTCAGCTACTGATTCTGTTTACATTTTCCAAAAGGAAACAGTTTTAGATAATAATAGCTTCCTGCATGAAGTGACTCCTATCTCTGTGTGTTGTCTTTTGCAGAAAATCCATTCGTGGGTCTAAGCTATTCAGCCTGACATTGCAGAGTGAGCCTCCTGTGGAAATGATAGCTCCGGGAGTGTGGGACACGAGTCAGCCATCCCCACTGACCCTGCAGGTAAGTGTCAGGCTATGAGATTAAAGCACACATGGCAAGTGAGGGCTGATAAATAGCTTGTTGTCAATTACAGAAACAATTTCCTCCAGGATCACACATTTTAATAAGCTTCCCTTCTTCTATCCTCCTGAGATTTGTGAAACCTTTCCTGCTTTTATTTTACAGTCAGTACTCTGAAAGCACTTCCCTCCAAGCTTATATAACAGCAATTTAAAACCATTCTCCATCAAATAAGATTATGAAAGAGAGTGATGGAGTGTTACCATTAATATACTCATTATGTGGCATTCATTTTTATCTTCTATGTCAAAAACCAGTTATGGGTACACATTATTGACTTGATTCCCTACCCACACATGCTTCTGCATTTGGTCAGGTTTTTTTAAATCCCTTCTCTTGTACAATTTCTAACTAAGTAGCAATTCTGTGAGTAGTGGGGGAGAAACTGCAAGCAAAATCTATCTATTATACTGTTGTTATTTACTAAAATCCCTTTTATTCTCTTTGACTCACAATCATGAATGAAATGCGATAAATGGCTCCAGGCTTTGGTCCCTGATGCTGTCAACTTCTTATTTGTTCATAATGGTAGTTGATCTTATTGGTTAAATATGAATCACAGATATTTTCATACATGGAAATGCGGTGAATAAAGACTTTCCATCTCTACTGGAAAAACTGAGAATTCCTACCTTGGCCCTTGGCAGTACACTGTATGGTAGAATTTCTCAGCTTCAGCACTACTGACATTTTGGACCATATAATTCTTTGTGTGGGGTCTGAACTGTGCATTGTAGGATGTTTGGTAATACACCCCTGGCTTCTACCCACTGAATATCAAAAACAACTCCAAGCTCTGACAACAAAAACCATCTCTGGATACTGTCAAATATCCTCTTGGGATAACATGTTCCTCAATTGAGGATCTTTGCTCTGGAGGAACTTAGTAGAGTTTCCAGACACTTGAGCTTACAGGTTGTGGCAGAGGAGTATGGGAGGGTATGGGATTTAGAAAGATGAATAGAAGGAATGGAAGTGAAAAATTAATAATAGTGAAAATATGGCTTCACTTACCAAATAGCACCAGACACCCTATCAAAAAGCAACCAAATGATCCAGTTCTAATCTGAAAACATGATGCTAAAAAAGAGAGAATATTCAGATTACATCCTGGTATAACACTGTGGACACTCAACACGTGAGGCCCCATTATAACAGGATCGAAAGAATCATCTCTATTATAAAAGAAGGGAAGAGATAAACAATAAATTCCACAAGCCTACTATATTAATGACAAAGAAAGCAAAGTGCTGGTGGTCCAGCTTAATCACATTGAATACTCATTCATATAACATACATGACTACTCTGAACCAAATATTGTGATAAACACCTTTACAAAATTGACTGCACATATAATGCCAAGACAGGGAATTCAAAAAGTGCAAAGTCTAGTGAGAGACATTTTCACAACTCACTGTGATTCTATCTGGCAAATGCTGTATTGTTTGCAGGGACACTAATGGTATTCTAAATGAAAGCAAAGAAATGCATAAAGTCTGAGAACTGAGTCCTAGGAGAAATGACATTTGAATGCCTTTAGTGGCGTGAGTCCATTTTTATCATCTAGTTAGAGGAGAAGACGATCCAGCTATATAAGAATGCACAATGGTAAAATGAAGATTCTAAAAGGGGCTGGCAATTTTAGAATCTGACAAGTTGGCTAAAAATAAAGAACAAAGTAGAAGTGGTGGAAAGATCTTTAAGGTGCTAGATTGTGTGCCAGACTTGGACATGATTGGACTATGAGTCATAGAATGCAGTTATGGTAATGTTCCAGAAAATACCCTAGAAAGCAAGGAGAGTGGATATATGGACACTGTTTGACAAACACCTAGGTGATCTAAGTTAAATATCCAAGGACCAAGACTTAGAAAGACAGCAGCAAAAAGTTATATTTCAGCAACTTTTTTAGACAGAAAGGAGTAGAACTTTATGGAGGAAATAAATAAGAAAACAGAAACGGGTTCCTGAGTCAATAGAAACATCTTTAGTTTCCAAAAAGCATTCAGAAAATAGATGGTCTTCAACTGAGAAATCGGATGGATTCAGTTTGGGATTCATTAAATTTTATAGGAGCCAGGGGCATGTCCAAGTATAGATATGAATTTTATTGTGCACTATTGCATGTCAAATCCAGGCCACCTCAGCCGAGTGAGGTCTTTGAGTCTGGCCACTGCTAGAGCTTTGGGGATTTAGATTCTTGATTTTAGGGACCTTGGAGCAGGAGGAAGTAGTATGGTAGGAGAGGTATATTAGGCTATCAGATGGGAGACACCTTGGTTTTTCTCAGGAGAGGGAAGAGGCTCATTTAAGAACTGATTTTGGCACTGTCTTCTGAACTACACATCTGGCACAGATTCAGTGAAATCCAAAGGAAAGTTTCAAGCATTCAACAGCTGCACCGATTTCAAGGGGAAACCTGGACCCATAACAGAATCTTTCAGAGAGGGGACAGGACATATAAACATTGCACCAGTGGAGCGATTAACTCATCTGATTTTTACACAATCATTTAAAATGATATACAAAGAGCCTATCTGTGTGCTTTTTAATTGCTGATGAAATATACAAAATAAGAACTTTTATGGTGGTAAAATCAAAACCTTTGATAACCAAAGTCAGTGTAATTACATACCTAAATTTAGAGCAGAATCTTTTGACATAATGATGGTGAGGTGATGGGGGAAATAGAAGCAAGTTGTGCAGCCGGTGTTTTGTTGAGTCAGTATGGGTCTTGGAAAGAAATCAAGCTGAGAATGAGGAAATCCGAATTCTAGTCTTGGTTCTTTAAAAGAAAATATTATTTGAACAATACACATAACCTTCCATAACCACCTCTGTGCAATGGAAGTGTAATAACTCTGCCTGTCTGTCTCCTGTCAGGTCTAGACTCTTCCAGTTGCCTTTATTAAAGGGATGCCCACCGCCTTGCTGTAGGTACCCCTAGCATGACTAGGAATGATAGGTCACAGTGTGAATCCTTTCAGTCAGTTAAGTTACCAGTCTCTGCAACGTGCTGACCAGGAGCTGTGAATAGAGTGAAGTAGGTCTTCCTTCAGAGATGCTCAGTATTTCATCCCTCATCCCGAGTCTCCCCCAACCGCCTGCCTGTCCCTGAAGATGATACAGTAAGAAGGCCCTGTCACTGTTCGAGAGCTGACAGTGGAGTAGTTGTCGCATGTGAGTTAATGTTGTCCTGGTTCAGTTCCATTTTTCTCTCTTTAATCATCTCCTCAGTTGTGTCTAAATTCACTCTCACCTTCTTGTCCTCATCTCACTTAGCCTTGTTAGGTGATGCCCCATTTCGTAGGTGCCCACTCCAGTGCAGGTTTACCGACCCTATGCTGGCCCTCTCTGCTCTTTAGTACTGTCTCTTCCCCCATACTGCGGAGTCTCCTCCTCTGGCTTAGGTGTTACTGCCCTGCTGGGTTCCCCCCAACCGTTCTCAACATGGCTCTCCTTTTTGCAAAATAATTTTATTGAGATATAATTCATATACTATACAATTCTCTCATTTAAAGCCTGTGAGTCAGGGTTTGGCACATAAGATTACACCTCTGCCTACATCTCTATCATCTCATGAATGCTGGTTTGAGGCCTGCCTGTTCCATTTCCACTCCAGTTCCTTTCTGGAGTGCCTGGGAAAGCAGCCGAAGATGGCCCAGCTTCCTGGGCCACTGCCACCCATGTAGGAGACTTGGATGTAGCTCTGGGCTTTTGGCTTTGGCCTGGTCCAGTCCCTGCTGTTGTGGCCATTTGGGAAGCGAACTAGAAGATGGAAAATCTCTCTCTCTCTCCCTCCCTCCCTTTCCCTTCCTCCCTTCCTCCCTTCCTCCCTTCCTCCCCTCCCCTCTCCTCTTCCCTCCCCTCCCCTCCCCTCCCCTCCCCTCTTCTCTCTCTCTCTCCCTCCCTCTCTCTTTCTCTCTCTCTCTCTCTCTCTGTGTCTTTCTCTCCCTTTCTGAAGTTCTGCCTTTCAAATAAATAAATATTTAAAAAATCAAAAGAATATAAATCAATAGTTTTATAAAATGTTCCCAGATTTGTACAGCTATCACCACTGTCAAATGTAGAACATTTTTATCACATCAGAAAACAAATCCCACACCCGTTAGCTTTCTCCTCCTATTCTGCTGTCCTCTCTAACTCTAAGCAGCCACTAATCTTTGTCTCTGTGAACCTGAGTATTCACATTTTATGTTACTGGAACCATACAATGTGATCTTTTGTGATGGCTTCTTTCACTTAGCATCAGGTTTCCAAAGTTAATTCATGTGATAGCACGAATCTGTAGGCGTTCTTTTTGATAGTTGAAAAATGCAAATCTTTAGATACAGTGCATTTCATGAACCTGTTCATCAATTGCTGTACCCTTTGTTTCCACCTTTTGCCTGTTAAAGACATCATTGCTATAAACTTTTGCACATAAGTTTTTTGGGACGTGTGTTTTCATGTCTCTTGTGCAAGTAATCAGCAGTGGAATTACTTGGTCTCAATTATTTCTAAGATGTTCTTCATAATGCCTATGGAGGTTCACTTCTGAGTCTGCACCTGTAGTTTCCATTCCTTCTTACTGCAGGCTTCAGGCACATACGTGGAGAGTCCCATCCTTACCGAAACTCCCTCTCGGATATTCCATTGGCAGCTTCAAATGCAACAGGGCCCAAACTGAGCCCATTTTCTTCACCAAAATCACTTTTGTGCCCTGAATTCTTTATGTCTACTTATCCCCACTTATCCCTCACAGTCTCCCTTTGCCTCATTTTTCTCTCTGCCATCCATATTCAGTCCTTATTGTATCCTGCCAATTTATCGCCCATATTTTTAAGTCTATTCTCTCAGTTCTTCAGCTCATCCTTCCTTATTCAACCACTCCCTCCTATATTACAAATGTTCAGCTGCTCTTCTTGGCTTTATATGGTCATTGCCTAATGCAAAATCT